TTGCTTTGAACTTATGTCAAGATTGTGTGCCTTATCCACAGTAAAACCGTAGAAATATCAATATGAAATTTAAAACAAAGAAAAACCACTGTGAATACCATCATTAGTGTTGGATCTTCTTACCTCTGGGCAAAAAAAAAAAAAAAAATCACACCTTATAGTCATGTCACACGTGCTTAGCTCGCCCTCTACTGGCTGTTTCTTGTTTTAGCAGTTATCAGAGGTACTTAATAATGAAAATTTATTTTGCTCATTTATAAGTTTCTTGGATTCTTTATGATGTTTCTTGATACCTGCTTTTAGTCACCTGAACGCTAGGTCTGTTACAAGGTTGGGGAAGCTTACCAGGCAGAATATTCATTGCACTCCCCGGAAAGAGCGAAGTAATTGAAAGATAACATCCACAGAGCTCCACCATCCCACCCAACCACTGATCAGCATCTGCTCTTATGTGCTCTGCCTTCCACATTGTTAATAGATTAACTATCTGTGTGCCCCAATTTTAAAGAAGCTAATTCCTTCTCTTGTGTACCAGATTTCATCCCCTCTCCAATTGCAGGGCTAGGCAGAGTGCTTTCCCCTCTTCTCTCTTAGGAAGCTTTCTTGCTTCCTAAGCCGTATGGTTAAGGGAGCCCCCACTCCGCTCCCAAAACCAGGTGGTCCAAAGCCTCTTGCGTGGCTGCCACGCCTGGGTTTGAACCCCGGTGTGAATCCTCCCTCTCAACCCCATCTCAGGCTCCTTCCTCAGGCGCTTCAACAGGGCGAGCTGCCTGTCAAATTACATCCTGGATTAAGGTTATACAAACCTTCCTGGTAAGCCTTGTTGATATGCAAAATAACCATCTTTGCCTAGGAGCTATGAAGCTATCCTCCTGTTATTGACATGCAAAGTAAGTCAATGGCCCTGCTCGGTATAAACTGGCCTGTTATCAATATTTAGAGTAACTCTCAAGGGCCCTCAGCCTGTTATTGACATGCAAAGTGACTCTCAAGGGCCCTGCTCCCTATCTCCCATTCCCCACGGCAGCCCACCTTGCGGAGCTGGGGGGATGAGAATATCGTATATTTTTCTTGGACACCCCAATTTCTGGACCCCATTATGAATCCCCTTTGCGGGGGCCTTGCTGCACCTGTTACAATCCTACTCAATTTTCAATCCTCACTTTACTTGATCCATGAACTGTGCTTGACCCCCCTCTTCCTTAAGGTAGGTTCTTCATGTGGCTTCCGAGTAACCACACTCTTCCAGTTTTCTTCCCACCTCCCTCAGCCTCCTCTGCGGGTTACTCCTCTTCTCTCCTCAATCCGATAATAGATCACTCACAAGCTTAGTCTTTGGTCTCTTTTCTTTCTTTTCCACATTCACCCTGTTTTGTAGCTTTAAATTTCACCTCTGTGCCTCTGACTCTCAACTGGTATCTACAGCCCCAACCTTTTTCATGTCTTACTGTTCACTAGGCATCCCAAACACAAGTCTGAATTGGCCTCTCATCGTCGCTCTAAAACCCCACTCCCCCTACGGTCTTCTTCGTTCCAGCTAAGAGCAATGACATGGTTCCAGTTCTTCGGTCCAAAAGCTTCGGTGTCACCCTTGATGTTGGTGTTTGTCTTTCTTTCATATCCCACATCTGATCTGTCAGGAAGTCTTGTTGAAATTTTCAAAATATATTTAGAATCTGAATACGTCTCGCCACCTTCACTGCTTACTACACCGATTCAAATCATAATCATTTCTAACCTCATTCCCAATGTTGCCACACCCTGGAGTCACCCAAGGATCTTTAAATGACACTGATGGCGCCCATGCTTGGTATTTTGACTTAATTGGTATGGAATGTGACCTGAGCACTGGGATTTTTCACTACTCTCCAGGTGATCCTAAGGTGCCTCAGGGTTTGGCATTTACCTGGTATGATAATAGCCATCTAACGAGTCTCCCAGGCCCTACCCTTCCCCCCTCCCCACAATCTATTCTCGACACAGCAAATAGAAATACTTTAAATTTGAAAGCATATCATATCCCTGCTTAAAAACTCTCTAATCGATCCCCATGTCACTTAGAGCAAAAGCCAAAGGCTTTACAACGGCCTGCAAGGTCTTATGTGAGCTGCACTCCGCCCCAGTCCACTTCATCTCTTCTCTGACCTCTGTTGAATGAACTCAGAAAGTCTGGAGGCTTTGCTAAAAATAAGTGATAGAGATTTATTCCAGGGTCTTAGAGTTTGCAAACTAGAATCACAGCTAGGAAAAAAGCCAGCAGCGTTCCAAAGAAGAAAGAAAAGTTAAAAGTTCTTATAGCAGAAAGCATCTTCTTGGGAATTATTAGTCCTGCAATCCTAATCCAGGATTGATCCAGGACAGTTATCAGTCAGGTGTCAGGTGTCAGGTGTCAGGACGGTGGATGTCAGGTGGTCTGGAAGATGGGCGCCGAAGGGACCGGTCACATCCAGTGGTTCGGATAATGAATGTCAGGTAGATCTGCACATGAGTCCTTCCAGGGGTTACCTGGAGGTCTGGATGTATATCTAGGCATTGATGCAAGACTAAAAAGTTTAAAAGGTTTAAGTTCCCAGGCTAGTTAGAAGAGTGGAGTCTTTCCTCATACCTCAACCTTCATAATGTTAATAATTTTAGCAGCTTGGTTAAAGTGACTGCACTTTATATATTCCCTCCCTGTACTCTTGCTCACCTCCATGACATATTCCCTCATTCATGGCTCTGTTGACACTGGCCTCCGTACCTTCTCTGAACCCACCAGAAACCCTCTTACTGCAGGACTTGTGTGCCAAATGTTCCTTCCAACTGAAATACTCTTCCCCCAGGTATCTGCATATCAACAGGCCTACCTTAACCCCTGTTGAAAATGTATAATCATACTACACACCTGCGTCTTTCTTTTGTGTGAGGTAAAAGACTAATGATGTAGATGATGTTAAAAAACAAAATTCAACCAAGTAAACTTGATCTAATTGACTTTATTAAGCAATTCGCAAATGAAAAAGTTTACCAACTAGCAATTAGAAGGGCTCTCCAAGGAGAGATACAAAATGGAAGGTTTTTATAAGAAGAGTAGGGCAAGGGAGCTACTAACAACAACAAAAAGTATTAATTTTAGACCAAGACCTCCGCTTTTGGGGTGAAGAGAATGACAAGGCTGTTTTCTTTAATTTTCACTCTAGAATGTAAAAGCTGGAAAGGTTATTATGCAGATTGCCTCGTCTTTCTTTGGGGGATGGAACAGGGCCCATGAAACAGATTACCTTACCAGTGCTTGACAAGAAAATTCCAGCTGGTTGATTTAAGATTATATTTATAGGAAAAGTTGAAACAGCACTTAGATCAGGCATTACATCGAGGTTTAGTGACGTGGGCTTTAGCAAAAGTGATACAATAGTGGCTCATGGTTTTCTCTTTAACACTTCGGATAATTCCAAAATAAATTTAAAAGAGAGTTTTATTCATATATGATTTGCAAATCAGGGACGCAGCCCTTGCTATGTACCATAATGGAGGGGATAAGTCTAGGATTTTAAAGGCAAAAGTTGAAAGGAGCTGATGATCAAAGAGATGAGTTGCTAGGGAAAATAAGGCAATAAATGTATTCATTTTCTGATTGATGGGGGTAACTGGACTTTTCAACAGTCAGCTAGCTCAGTGGTCAACAGGTGGGGCTGTGATATAAGAACAGTGGGTAACACATGATCAGGCATTTATTAACATCCTAGCTCCAGTTCAGGCTTGTAGAACAAAAGTTTTTTGGGTTATTTACCAACAGAAATCAAACAACATAGGCAAGCAGTTTTTAAGTCCTATGAGCAGTCATGATCTGCAAGCAGCCTCAAAGTACAAACTGCAGAAATACGAATGTTGGGCCACAAGTTATGATAGTAAAGTTCTTATAAATCCTCATAAGGAAGAGTAGAGAATACAAATTTGGAGTAGAAATAGAGTTCTGTTTTGGACATGTTAAGTTTGAGATGCTTATTAGACATCAAGATCTAACAAGGTGTCAAGTAGGGAAGAAGTTGGGACTAGACTATAAAAATGGGAGTAGATGGTATTTAAAGCTATGGTACCCTGGGGATCACCTTGGGAGAGACAAGGCTGAGAAGTGACCCCTGTGGTACAGCAATATTTTGAGGTGACACAGAGGAGTCCACCAAAGAGACTGAGGAAAAAGTAGAAGAAAAACTAAGAGGTTGTGGAGGGTCCTATCATGAAACACTTTTCCTGAAAGCCAACTATGTCAATTAGTGCTAGGATGACGATAAGGACAGATACATGCTACTGAATTTGGCCTGATGGGGAGTAACCAGATGTGATCGGGACAGTTTCAAGGTCGTGGTGGGTCAAAGACTTTGAGTTATGTCAATTCTGGTGGGAAGGAACTGAAAACACCAGTTTCCTATCTTTATGTAAATGAGAGGGTTTCTTAAATTCTGGTTCATGAATAAAGGAGATCATGAATAGGTTTCAGGAAAACGGTATCTCAAGTCCTGCCTCCAAACTCTTACCAAAACTGAACGCTTGCGTTTTTCTAGAGAGATCTCCATAGCTTTTATGATGGTTATTAGTGACATGTGCCTTTCATGTGAGACCAAGATGACCAACTGGCGTCAAAGCCTGCATCAAATTTTTCCTTGACTCCTATCTGATCTCTTCCAGGCTCTGAATTTAGTTTTCATCACACTAGCACGCTCGTTTTCACGCGACCTCCCACGCACGTTCCTGCCCAGTCTCCTTTCCCCTCTTCAGAGTCCTACATCCACACTCTCATTTAGGGTTCCTGGCGCAGCCTCTTTACATAAGCTTTGTCCAGTCGCGGTACTACACAAGACCTTCTGATGCTCGAGCACCAGGTCCCAACCTTTGCCTCGCCTCCTCCGGCGCCGCGAGAACGCCACCGAAGGGCGGGGTGGGCCTGCACGCCCTGCGTCGTTTGGGAACAGCTTTACGATATATTGACTTTCATTTTACGACAAGCGGAGTGCTTTGTGGCTGTCAACTTTCGCCGTGGTCCGAGTTGGGGGCCACACTCTCAGTGGTGGCAGGAGCTACGACGGCGGAGAAATGAGGCAGAAACGGAAAGGTGCGGAAAGGGAGGGAGACAAAGAGGGGGTTGGGGGTACCAGGGAACGGGTGCACATCTGGGCGGTCCAGGGCTGACCCCATTTTTTCCCGCGGGAACCCGATGCCTGATCCAGAGCCCCGCCACCTGGGGTCAGCCTTTTCGTCAGTTCCAGGCTCCTGCTTTTTCATTTTATCTATTGTGCTTTTTAAACCGACCTTTTCTACTCTCTTCCTCTTTGGCAGTCAGTTAGGGTCTTTTGCATAAATGGCAGAAAAAACTTTATTGCAAGGTATGGCCTCCAAATAGTCAACGTGGTTGGTCGATTTAACTCGTTCTCGGACTCTTTCATTTGTTTGGGGTTTTGTGTTTGTTTTTTTTTTTAAAGGACACTGTGCACGTTGCGGGGGGCGGTTCGTGTGTGTGTGTGTGTGTGTTTGTTTGTTTGTTTTTCCGAGCCGTAAGTTAAAAACAACCCTGAATTCTTGAATTTTGTGGGACAGCTCTGCCCATTTCTATTACCTGCGGAGTTAGCGTGGAGCAATTTCACCTCTTTAGTTTCCCAACAGGATGGAGTCAAATTTCAACTATTTCTCACAGGTGTTAGACTTTGCACACTAATTTAAGCAGTCTAATAATAACAACTACCTTTTATTGAGGCTTTGGTAATAACTTTGAAGTCGACACCCTCTCCATTTTACCAATGAAGCTGAGGTTCAAAGAGTTAAATGACTTTCCCAGCCCAGAATTATTCTTAGGAAGTAGACCTGGTTGGTCAGACTGTATCTATGAACAAAAACAAACAAACAAACAAACAAAAAATTTTGTTCTTAATTACTAAGTCTCTTGATATCAACTGCAGTATTTTGAAGCAACAAGTGTGCAGGTTACCTTCAGTTCTCTATGCCTTCCAACCCTATATATTCCAAATTAATTTGTCATCTTCCTCTGTCTTGCACCTCAGGTGGGCCAGACAGCTCTACGCTTTTAACTTCATCTAATCACCAAACCCTATTAGGTCTTAGAAATTGCCTCTTGAAATAGTTTATTCCTCATATTCTGACCACCATCCTCCTAACCCACCTTAGTAACTAATATTTGAGTAGTACTTTGGCTTCTGTACACATTATTTCAGTTGATTCTTAAAATGGTCTTGTGAGATGTGTATGTATTATCCCAATTTTGCAGATGAAGAAATGAAGTTTAGAAGTTTAGAGTCTGCTGTCTTAAGATCTTTACTGTATAAATCTTGGGGTTTTTTTTTTTACAATGTTGCCTTTTACTTAGTACCCAGATTTTATGTATTATTTGCACCTTCTGAATCATTTTTTGTATAGAAATACATGTTTCTATATATATTTTCTTGAAACACTATTTTCATTTTTTAATCCCAAACTTGAGAATATATAATTCTGCACTGTCTTTTGCACTCCATTTAAATGTCTTTGCCCAGTAGCCAATGTACCCTGTAATCTGTTCGTTACTGAACTCCATCAGAAAGCCCATATTCTGGTTAGGCAATGCTCCTTTGTACAAAGATAGGTGCTGTATTTTGCTGTGTTTTGCACTTTTCCCCCAGACAGCTGGATTGCTATCTGTTTTGCTTGTCCAGGATCTGCCCTTTCATTAAAGACCCCTGTGCCTTTTCCTTCATGAAGCCTCTTACTAATTTACTTCTCTAGCTAATTCTTGATATACCAAAGGGCTATACAAGTTTCAGATCTTTATCTGTTTTTATCACCTGAGTCCTCTTTTCCTCTCCAAATAAATTCTTATGCAGAAACTCAGTATTAAACAGGTGAAAGCTGAGCTAGTTTGGTCGAAATGGAGAGAAGCCCTCCCTTTCTAGCCTCTCCCCCTTCCTCTACCTCCACCACTAGCCCTACCTCTTACATGTCCCGTGAGGTGTCTTTGGAACTCTGAAGTGCTGAATTACATGGTGTGGAAAAGCATTGAGCCTTTGAGTATAGATGGACTGTTTTTCCTCTCCAATTGTTTTATGTTAGCTTTGCCTCATTAAATTAGAGGCAGCTTGGTGCAGTGAAAAAACCATGGTAGTTGTGCAAAGCAAACTCAAATCCAGGCATAGCAAAGACCTGGATTTGAGTTTTAACTATGCCATTTACAGAGACATCTTAACTTGCCTTAGTTTTTCACATCTGTAAAGTGGGACAATGATACACCTTACGGTGTTGAGAGGTTTCCAATGAGATAGAGGAAATGAAAGGGCTCCATAACTGCCAGGCTTTCTCATCACTGCTTCTTCCTAATGGCTTTATTATCATTGAACACCAGCTCTCTCTGCGGACAGGAAGCATGCTTGCTAATGGCTCCCAAGCTGAAATCTCCCAGCTTTTATCACTGAAGAGAGAGAGGTGTTTTTTGCCTTGAGAAGAGCTCACATTGGCCTGACTTGAATAGGTGCCAGTCCTTGAACAAATCAACTGTAATTGCAGGGGTGGGATTGTGTAAGAACATGTCAGCTTCTGCTCTTGCCTTCTAGACGTGAAGGGGAGCCTCAGTTGCCATGAGAGGCGTTGTGATGATGGACAGACTATGTCTTAGAGATGCATTAAGATCCTTAGCAGAGTATAAACCCACGTCTTTTCTATTGCAAACTAAATACTACTGCAGATACCTAGGGTTTGAGTTTCAGCTTTACCCCTGATAGCATTTTCATGGGACGGGCAAATATCCCTGTTCTATCTCACTCTGTTCTGAGAATCAGATGAAATTAGGCATATAAATATAACTACAAATCTGGAGATAAAGGGAAGCTATTTTGATTATTTGGGCCTTTCTTGTGCAATCAGGTTCTTTCTCCTCATGATGTTTGTCTCTATCATTCTTGTGGTGTATGTGATTCTAAAGTGAGCTCCTCCCATATATAGGTGAAGCTGTGATTAAGTTCAAGAGACAAAGATATCATATTTTAAACAGTAGAGGCTTAGTGTCTTGTGAATTTGAGCTATATTGCGTCGCTGGAATGATTTTGGAAAGAAAACTTCTAATAAATAAAAAAAAATCTTTACTGAATAATGTGATTTTTTTTTTTACATTGTTAAACACTATCTTTCCAGGAGAGCTCAGCCCTGCTGAGCTAATGATGCTGACAATAGGAGATGTTATCAAACAACTAATTGAAGCCCATGAACAGGGGAAAGACATCGATCTAAATAAGTAAGTAGAGCCCTGATTGGTATGGCTCAGTGGGTTGGGTGTCTCCTGCAATGCAAAAGGTCACCGGTTTGATCCTGGCACGTGCCTGGGATGGGGGCATGTGAGTGACAACTAATCGATGTATCTCTCGCACATTGATCTTTCTCTCCTTCTCTTTCCTTCTCTAAAAAATAAATAAATTTTTTAAAAAATAAGTGGATCTATAAAATAGAAGGCAGTCTTATTCTTAGGTAGTAGGTCTCTTATGAAATTATCAAATTCTCCTTGTTTCCTTCCTATCTCATGTTTTATTTTTTACTTGAGAATTTAGCTTTCTGCCCTGCCCTGCCTTCATTTATGGCAAAATTATCTCATAGTTTTAATAACACTAATAGTTTCTAACATTTATTGGGCCCTTACTGTATCCCAATCAGTGTGTGTAGTGCATTGTATATATTAGCTCAGTTGATTCTTACAAAAACCGTTATGATGTAGGTATTCATATCATTGTCATTTGACAGATGGGTAATATGAGACAGAATGGTTAAATAATTTGTCCAAGAGCAAATAACTAGGGATTGGCAGAGCGGGGATTTGGAATTACGTCTGTTTCCAGAGCCCCTGTTCTGTGCTCTGTGACTTCACGTCCTTCTTCTCTTCCCCACTGTCTCAGAGGAAGCCGTAGCTCTCTCCAGGAAAACCTCCCTTTGGAACCCTTGATCTAATCCAACTCTTACCTACTTTATAACCTCCTTGGCATCTTCATCCACTTCCTCCTCACCATCATGTTCGACTTTGACTTTGCTACACCCTTAAATACGAGGGGACTTTCATCTCCGCATCTGTATTTTCACTGTATATTCATTGTATAAATCTGCTCTCATGAAGGGGTTTTCTCCCCACCCCAAGGCTGGCAGTGATCCAGTCACCACATACGTCACATTTTTTGACCCTCTTATCTGTTATTTGAGATACTGTAATATTTTACCTCTTCCTTGGAACATTGTGCTTATTTAATGAACATTTGCTAAAAGAATAAATGAGTAACCTTTTTTGACTATGAAGACATATTTTAATCTTTTTTCCTACCATGTCTTTAGCAGTTTTCTTTCTTTGTTGGCTCTACTCATAATTATACAATTCTTTTATTTCTATTGGACATTTCTATTCCTTGTACATTTTTGACACTCTCTTTAATTTAGACATCTAAAGTTAAAGCTACTACCATCTTCCTTAAAACCAATTCCTACTCAGATGTCCTCTTGAATTAATTAGTGGCATCTTTGAATCTTTCTCCTTAGGTCCAGTTAGGGCCTGAAGTTTACCTGCTCTGTCTTCATTATGACTCACACTTTTATTTCTACTCCCAACTCCCTATCCCAACTCTTTTTAAACTTAGGTCTAGACTACTGCAATAGTTTATGCTTTTGGTCCCTTTTCATCTCTTGCTGGATTAATTTTCCTTTGTCTTGTCTTTGCTGTCATTTCCCTGTATAGGAACTTCAGCATGTCCCCAGTGCTTATGAAATTAAATGCAGGTTCCTCAGCACGTTGTATAAGGCCTCACAGTCTGGCTTCAATTCACTTTTCCAACTTTTTAAACTTCTCTGCCTTTACATTGAAAATCTTTTGCTTTCTATCAGGCTAGTCTACCCATATTTCTTAAAAGATGTGTATTTTTGTTTTTGCATCTTCACATAAGCCATCTGATTTGCTCTCTGTCGTCTTCATGTGTGCACTGAATGTCTGAAGCCTCTTTTTCTGTGCCCATTTTCCATGACTATCCCTGGTACACTTTGAGTGACTCCCTTGAACACTGGAAGCACTCACTGTTGTGTGTGTGTGTTTTTCATGCACATTTATCTTTGTTCATGCCTATCTACAAACAAAAAACGTGAGATGACTATGCCTTATGCTTCCTGACATACCAAGTACTTAGGTGTTCTCTTGTACAAAGCAGATAGTTCATATTTGTAGAAAATGATGGAAACACCTCATCATATTTTCAGATGGGTTAAAAATGAGAAGTGAAGGTGACCTTTAGGGTAAGGAATTATTAGTTTGGATAAAGTTACTTCTTAGGGTGAGGTTAGGGTTATAATCAGGAAGGGACAAATGGGTATTCTGAAGTTCTGATCATATTTTTTGAAGTGTGGTTGCACAAGTGGTTGCTTTGTAATTGTTAAAGTATATTTAGATGTTTTATGGCCTTTTTTATGTATACAATATTTTTGTATTAGAAAAAGTTTTTAAATACTTTCGTATAGCTATCATCCTTTTGTTTGTTTGTTTGGGGGGGGTTCTAAGACAGTGGTTTGCAACCATGTGTGACCCGCCCATCCCCGTGGACATGTGGCAGTGTCTGGAGACGGCTTTGGTGGTTGTAGCAGGAAGAGGAGTACCAGTGCGTAGAGGCCAGTGATGCTGCTCAGCATCCCACGGTTGTACCGAACAGTCCCCCACCACAGAATTCCTCTGTTTCCAAATGCGGTAGTTCTGAGGTTGAGAAAAGTATAGGATATTTTGAAGCTATGCCACTATTTTGAACAAGACTTACATGGTGTCACTGCCTGGGCCCCTGATGTTCACAGATGTTAAAGCCACTATTGTCATCTGGTGAAAGGATGGAGAGTGACAGGAGTTGATGATGTTATTTATAGGCCAGCCTTTTGATAGGCTGTCCTTGAGATAGTGTGATCTTGATAATGCTAGATGCTTTACTTTCAGGGTGAAAACGAAGACAGCTGCCAAATACGGCCTTTCAGCACAGCCTCGCCTGGTGGACATCATTGCTGCAGTCCCGCCTCAGTATCGAAAGGTCTTGGTCCCCAAGTTAAAGGCAAAACCCATCAGAACTGCCAGTGGGGTGAGTGCTTCAATCCGTGTAATGTTGACTGTGTATCTGGTCTGCCCAAAATCCCTGCCTCCATGCAACACCCAGCTAGTGAGGTCGAGGCGAGGGGATTCAGACTGATGTAATCTATAGATTATGATACATGCTGGAGTGGAGACATGCGCAGAATGCTGGGAGGGCACGGGGTCGCGGGGGGGGGGGGGGATTCAGTGTGCTTAAAAGAGGAAATGATGCTTTGATGTCTTTAAAAGTATAGATTGAGGTTTGGCAATTTTGACAGGATGACATTGTTGGCCATGTTAAGCTTGTGGCTTTCAAAATAATTGCTACTTATAAAAGGTACAGTTAAAAGGTAATTAATGGTGCAGAGTCCTTCTGTAGAAGGTAAATGTGGAAGATTTGACGTGACAGGGAGCGCAGCGGGAGTCCAGAGGACAGAGACACCCTGTCAGTCAAAGGGACTAGGGAAAGCCCAAGAGAGTGTGGGGCTGGCCCAACATAAGCGATGCTCGTAAACGCAGAGGAGCGGGCAGGCATGAACAGTAGCGGGAGCACGGGCACAGGGAACTGAGGCGCAGAGGCAGAGATGGCAGAAGTGCAGTGTGACACCGTGAGGACATGAGACTGCCTGGCAGTGAGGGTTCGTTTGGGAAAGGCTCAGGGCGTTGGATTGAAAAGTTAATTTGAGATCAGCTTGTAAATGACCTTAAATGTCCAGCAAAGAAGCTGGACAGTAGAAAATTACTAAAGACTTTTGAGGAAGGGAGTGATAGGAACAAAATAGATTTTCAGAAAATTACTCCGGATACCAGATGTAGGGTAGGTTGGAGACAAAAAAAAAAAACTAGTTCGGATTCTCTTGGTTTGACCAAGAGAAGTCTAGGTGTGAAGTTTTAAAGGCCTGAATTAGGGTAGGGGCTCAAAGATGAAAAGGATGAGTGTGAGAGATAGGATCTGGACCCTCTTGAAATATGGTATCCAGAATTGAATTCTGTGTTCCCAATGTGATCTAAGATGGTCATTCTGTTCCTTCAATGAGGATGTTATGTTTCCAGTAATTGCAGCTTGTGTTGACTTGTTTGGTGGCCCCATCTCTTGGATTATATTACATTTGTGGCTAATTAAGTACCACTAATCATGGCCTTTTCTCCTTTGTACTTAAGTGTTTTTGTTTTGTTTGTACCTAGTGTAAAGGCTCTTTAAAACCAATATTTCCAAATCTCTCAGGTCTCTCCTTTTTTCCCTCAAAGGGCAACTGCTTTTAACTCTTAGCTGATTTCTTGGCATTTACTTCCACATCCCTAAATCATATGCTTTATAGATTGTCTTGAGTGTTTGGGTTTTGGCATTATGAATGAGCTTGCCACCACAGACAGCAACGATTGAGCAACCTTTCAACCTGATATACTTGGCTTTTGTAACATCATTCTCTCTGCCCCTCCTCCTACCTCAGATCATTTCTTTGAGGGCTCCTCTTACGTTTGCCTCTAAAAGATAATGCTTTCTGTGGTATTCGTTAACTCCCAGCGCCAACCTCTCCCCAGCCAGGCTCACATCAGATAGCCCGTCAGCCATACCTTCCCGACTGACTGCATGTAGACCCGCAGGTGTAACATAACCCAAGCCAACCTCACATGTGCTCGTTCATCCTTCTGGTCCGTATTAGTTCCCAGTGCCCCCGTTCACTCAGTTTCCAAAATATGTGAAATGTGTCATCTATTTCCACCACCACTGGTAGGACTGTTTTGGCTTGTTATTTCTTGTTTACATTATTTCCCTCATTTTTTAACTGGTCCACTCTGTCTTGCCTGCACCAAACCTGTCTTCTGCAGTGTCACCAGAGTGAGCCACTGAAAGTGCCAGAAGCACGCGGCTGGCTGGCCTTCTCCGTCTACTGTGCGTCCTGACCTCCACGCTTTTATTTCTGCTGCTGCCCTGGCGGGCTTTGTTATTTTACTTTACTTTTATTTTATTTTATTTTATTTTATTTTATTTTATTTTATTTTATTTTTTTATGGAGCTGTCTTAGGTTTACAGAAAAATAGAACAGAAAGTACATAGAGTTTCCATATACTTCCTTTTCCCAGATTACCCTATTATTAATACCTCACATTGGTTTGGTGCATTTGTTCTAATTGATGAACCAGTATTATTACATTATTATTAACTGAAGCTAATAGTTTTTACATCGGGGTCACTCATTATGTTGTGCATTCAGTGGTTTTACCAAATGCATAGTGCCATGTATCATATGGACTAGTTCTGCCTTAAAACTCTCCCAGGCATCCTTTCCTCTGCACCACCCCTCTGGCAACCGTCGCTCTATGTGCAGCCTCCATACTTTGGCCTTTTCCATGTAGCTGGCATCAAATAGTATGTAGCCTTTTAGATTGGCATCTTTCATTTAGCAATATGCATGTAAGGTTATGCCTTTTTAGTAGCTTCATAGTTCATTTGTTTTTAGTCCTGAATAATATTCCATGGTCTGTAGCTCAGCCTGTCCATCTGTTCACCTATTGGAGGACATCTTGGTTGCTTCCAGTTTTTGGCAATTGTGAACAAAGCTGCTATAAATATTTGCGTGAAGGTTTTTGTGTACTTACAGGTTTTCAGTTCATTTGGGTAAATACGTAGGAGTGTGATTGCTGGATCATATGCTAAGACTATGTTGAGCTTGTAAGAAACTGTCACAGTGTCTGTACCATTTTGCATTCCCATCAACAGTGAATGAGACTTCCTGTTCATCCACATGCTTGCCAGCATTTGGTATTGTCGGTATTGTGGGTCTTGGCCATTCTAATATGTGTGTGTAGTGCTGTCTCATTTTCATTTGCAGTTTCTGAATGCCATATGATGTTGGATATATTTTCATATACTTATTTGCTATCTGTCTTCTTCGTTGGGGTGTCTGTTCAGATATTTTGCCTTATTCCTAATTGGGTTATTTGGGGGTTTTTTTGTGTGCATGTGTGAAGTTGTAAGAGGTTTTTTGTGTATTTAAGATACATGTCTTTTATCAGAGAGGTATTTTACAAATATCTTCTTCCAGAACTCTCACGTTTTAATGTAGCCTAACTTACCAATTTTTTTCTTTCATGGATTGTGCTTTTGATGTTGTATGTAAAAACTCATGGCAAAACCAAAGGTCACCTACATTTTTCTCCTGTGTTATCTTCCAGAAGTTGTATAGTTTTTGCATTTTACATTTAGGTCAGTGATCTATTTTGAGTTTGTATTTGAGGTGGGTTTTTATTTTGTTTGTTTTGTTCTGCTTAAAACACCATAATTATTCTTCTTTATTATTAGTGTCACTACTAATTACAACAGTAGTTATATGTTGCCCACCTTTTACATACCAGCCACTGTGCTGGTATGTTTTCTGATTTAATCCTCAGAACAGTTTTGAGGAATAGTAAGTATTGTCTTCATTTTCCAAAATTGGCACCGCAAGGGGAAGAGAAAAGATTCAAACCTACACTTCCCTGGCTGACTCCAAAGTTGCTGTTTGTTTTTTTGTTTGTTTTTTACTTTATCAGCAGTTTTTAAACTATACTAAACAAAACTCCAGGGTTCCTTAGGCGTCTCAGAGCTCCTGTGGAGGTTAGTACAGGGAGGCCATGGGAGCGGGTCTCACCTCTATTTCACCCAGGGCTGTTACTTTTCAACTTTTTTATAAATTAGTACTCTAAGTGGAATGTACTTGAGAGGAGAGTTCTAGTGCTCAAAAACGTTTGGAAGCTCCTGCATATTGCTTCCTGGCCCCCTGCCATGTTAGCTCAGTTAGCCCTTAACTCCACATGGTGGTTAGCCCCTTGGGAGGGCTTTCCTAACTGCCCTGGTCTGGGCTAATTCATTCCTTTCTTTGAGCAGTCTTAGGATTTTCTACATGCACGTGGTATTGAAATAGCCTATTTCTTTTTAAAAAATATTTTATCATTTATGCTATTATAGTTGTCCCTCTTTTTCCGCCTTCACCCCCCTCTGCCCAGCCCACCCCCCTACTTCCATAGTCAGTCCCCGCAGCGTTGTCCGTGTCCATGGGTCCTTCGTATACGTTCTTTGACTAACCCTTTTGCCTTCTTTCAATCTATTTCTGTATGACTTGAAGTTTTGCTAGGTAGTACAATTTTAGAGGGCAGAGGCAATACATGAATATTTTTGTAGTCTCAGGCCCCACCTGCTCTGTGTAGCTCAGAACCTGGCCTATCTAGTTGGCCCTCAATAAAACATTGTTGAATTAGATTGACCTCATCAGTGGTATATGTGGTTGTGTCTCATTTTAAATAAAAACATTTGTTTGAAACTATTAGTTTTTTAAATCAAATGTGAAAATTTATGTATTTTGGGGTTTCTCTAGGTCATTACTTAATGATTTAAGTTACATTTTAATAATTTTTATTATGAAAGATAATCACAAACTTACAGAAAAGTTGAAAGTCCAGTACAAAGAACATTTTCCAACTCTCAGCCATTTAAAGAGTTAGGTGTGAAACTGATGCCTTTGAAAACTTTATTTTAGCGCTTATTTCTTACACACAAGGACATTTTCTTATATCACCACAATACAGCAGTCAAAATCTGGAATTTAACAATGATACATAACTTATCTAATCCTCATTCAAACTTCACCAGCTGTTTCAATAATGGCCTCTATATGACCCAATTTAGAGTCACGTGTTGCATCATGTAGTTATCATGTCTCTTCAGTATGGACGCTTCTGTATTTCCTTGATTTCATACCTTAACATTTGAAGATTTCGGGCAAGTCAGACTGTAGCGTGTTCCTCAGTTTGTCTTAATCAGATGTTTCTTCATAATTCGACTCAGGTCATGTGTCTTTGGCAGGGATATCACAAAAGTAATGCTGCATCTCACTGACTCATCGGGTGGTGCATAGTTTCCTTTTGTCTGGTCACTGCTGTTCATTGTGATCAAGGTGATGTCTAACAGCCTTCTCCTCCATAAAGCTAGTCTTTTCCACTTTATTACTAAGAAGTTTTATGTGGTAAAATATTTTGAAACTATGTAAACATCCTCCTGTTCCTTATCAGACTTCCAGTTTACTTACCCATTTATTTGTATGAATAGATAAATGGTTTCCTATATGGTGGGTTATAATCATTATTGATTTTGATGCACAGATTATCCCAGCTTTGACCAGTGGGAGCCTTTTCAACCTGACTTCTGTGTCTTTTATTTTTCTTTAAATGTCTCCATCATTCTTTGAGCAGTTTCTAGCTTTCGGTCTTAATAAAGTGTTCCAGGCTCATCCGTTACTTTTCTTTGCCCCAGCCCTGGAATGAGCCATTTCTCTCAGGAGTCCTGGTTTCTTTTTATAGAGATGGGTATTTAGAGACCACGATCTGAGTGCTGGTCAGGCTCGCTGCTACTAGGATGTTGCTGTTTCCAGACCCTCTCTGTGGACCAAGCTGGGAAATGTATATGTACCTATACATACATACATATAGACATACATATGCATACATGCATAACACAGTTGCATCGATATTTGCATATCAGTGTTGAAATCAGTGAGTTCACAATAGTACTTTCAGTTCCATCCAGTCCACAGAGTTCATTCTAGCCCCTCCCTTTTCATATTTTTAACTTGCTGCTCTGACAGTGAGAAACCTGGCTTGCATCCACCTTAGTGTGTGACTGTATTTGACTAGCTGCTCCTGTCTGTAACCGATCTTCTATCTCTAAACATCCCCTCCTTTCTCAAGCAGATACTCTCCTTACCTGACCCGGGCTCAGAAAAGCCCTCTGAGAGTATTTTGCACACACTCTGTGAAGTCTGGCTCCTAGTTTAATTGTCTGAATATCGAGATCTAGCGTGTCCATGAGGAGTTTAAGTTACAAAAGTTAGGTTTAGATATAATCGTATAGAATTGCATAAAGTAGTTTTCTTCTCCTTTGCCACTTTAGTAAAACAAATCAGAAAAGTCACTGTGACTTTAAAAATTATCTATTTTTTACTTCATTTATTGTAAAATTTAATACAAACTAGTATGGACAATGCATATGTACATTTTAAAGAGATCAATGTTATTTTCAAGTCCCATTGAAAAGAGATCAACCTCGTACCCACTGCCAAGCCACAGAGATACAGCCTTGCCGGTGCCTGGGAAGCCCCAGGTGCGCCACTCAGATTGCAGCCCTCTCCCTTCCTCCGAGAGGCGGCCTCTCTCCGGGAGTTTCTGTCAGCCACTTCACTATAGCTTTTTCACTACTCTCTCTTTTATAGATTGCTGTTGTGGCAGTGATGTGCAAACCCCACAGATGTCCGCACATCAGTTTCACAGGGAATATATGTGTGTAAGTAGGATGATTTTAATAAGGGGGGGGGTTGGGGGTGTGTGTGTGTCTGTGTGTGTGTGTGTGTGTGTGTGTGTGTGTGTGTCTGTGTGTGTGTCTGTGTGTGTGTCTGTGTGTGTGTTAATTCCAGTAATAAGGCCCCTAGAGCCTGATCAGTGCATGCTGGCAATATTTAAAACTTTGCTATAATAGATTTATAAGTTAGTTCTTTGAAACAAGCAACCATTGATAGGCTAGTTCTTTGAAACAAGCAACCATTGATAGGCTATTTTGAGGCTTTAAAAATGACACAACGATTTTAATTTGTTGCAATATCCAATAAAAAATACGTAGGTTATAGAACTCAAAACAGACATTCTGTTAACTTCAGTAGACAGTTCTATTAATTTGATAACTGAAACATGGAAATTCCAAATGTCAGAAATTTTAAATGGCATTGCCTCAGAGAAATATCAATATAAGTTATTTTTATAAGTAACCTTTAAACTTTTAAAGTTTAGGTAATTGGAAAAATTAGCAGAAGAATAAGCATAATTCCAGGTAGAAAGATTAAATAGGTAAATGATATTCTTAAGTATAGTTACCAAGAGAGCACTGCGAATATCAGTCCAAACTTAGGAAAATTTAGGTTCTGTTATTTGTCGTTAAAAGCTTAAATCTCTGAAATAACAGTGACTGCAATATTCTGAAAATGGCTGTAATAATGTTCCCTTATATGTTCATCTTGTTTACTTGTTAGTAGAAAATGTATTATTTGCAGATACTGCAAAAGTAGACTCTCCTTTTAGGATTTGAAAAGGAAGCTTGTTCGATGTCTGGATTTTATGGGGACAGCAGACATTTGAACTAGGCTGTTGGACTAGATGTCTGATTTTTGTGTCTGACATGTCTTCATTTTTTCTGTTGTTTTGGCAGATACTGCCCTGGGGGGCCTGATTCAGATTTTGAATATTCGACACAGTCCTACACTGGATATGAGGTAAAGTAATGCGAGGTTGTCTTGAGGAAATGTTGCATCATATACTCTTACCTGTATTGTGCTTTTACAAGTACTAGCTATCTTAAAATTTTTATTTTTTTTCCTGATTACAAAATACACTAAATACTTGCTGAGTGTCAACATTTGTCTAGTCACTGGAGAAATACTTCTGTAAGCATTTGTTATTAATATATGTCAGACATGAGTGCTTTACAAGTTTAAACCCTACCAGTAGCATTTTGAAAGTAGACACTATTATTCTGGTTTTATGGATAAGGAAACTGAGGCCTAGAAGCCTTAAACAACTGGCTCGAAAACTCACTGCTAATACGTGATAAGCCATGTTTTGAATTCTGTACTCATCTTTCTATTGTACAGCCGGTTTGTGCAGCACTGAAAAAGCACAAGGTCCTTGTCTTGGGGAATTTACATTCTAATGGAGACAGGCAATAAAGAAACAAGCAAGAAAAATATCAGGTACTAGTAAATGCTAAGCAGCAAAGTAAAATAGTAAGGTGTAGCTGGGTGGTTTAAGCTATGGTGGTTAGGAAGGGATTCTCTGAGGAGGTGATATTTAACCTGAGTCCTGAAAGACAAGGAGACTTTCAGGAATATGAGCAAAAAGCACTTCTAGCAGGGAGCATAGCAGAACAAGGAGCCGTGCTGGCAATGACAGTGGGGTGCTCTGGAGCCCGGAGAGGAAGGGGAAGAATGAGGTAGGGGAGAGATGAGATGCCGTAGTCGTTCGGAAGCCGCGGCCAGGAGTTTGGATTTTATTATGGGTGTCATGAGAAGCCTTAAGACTTACGGGAATGATACAGTCCAATATAGTTGTTTTTTTTAAAAGAGCATTTGATGGCAGGAAAGGATTACAGTGGGGGCAAGGGTGAAAGCAGGAAACCAGTGAGCAAGCTTTTGAAGCAGTCCGCCTCTTCGGAAGAGATCAGCAGCCAGCAAACTCGGTGCCTTTTTCTTCTTCTTTTTTTTGTTTTTTGATTTTTGATTTTTGTTTAAAGCTGTAGAATATTCCATTGTATAAAAACATGAAGGTTTTCCTGTTAAGCCATGAAAAACTATGTTATATTTAATGACCTTGTTTAAAGGTTATTCTACCAAATAACTTTTGAATATGTATGTGCATCTGTGTCTCTGAGTAGTATTACAATTTGTGTTGGTTTCCATAAACATTTATACAAAGATGAACATGATCTAAGAAGATGCCCTGCTGGTCAGGTACTCATGGCAATGGGGGTGGGGACTAGCCTGGTGCTACTCAGGACAGTATTTTGAAGACTGAGAAAGAGACACAAGAGAATTTTATTTTTAATACATCCTTTGCAACTACTACTTGAATTTCTTATTTTTAATTAAGTGTGGGCATAACAGGATCTTTTTTTTTTTCTTAGCCAACTTCCATGCGAGCTATTCGTGCTAGATATGACCCTTATCTACAGACAAGACACCGAATAGAGCAGGTAAGTTTTTAAAAAGCAGTTTTAAATTAGATTTTTATACTTAGAAGGTATTATTGCTTGATTTGAGTTGTGCCTGAAATAAGAACTAAAAGAATGTTTTTTCCCCATTGTAAGTTTTTAATATCCATCTGAAGGAGGGAGACTATTTTGCAATACCTAGCAAGATGAAAAATATCTTTTTGACCTTTCTTTGGAGACTGTTACTTTCTTTAAGGGTTTTATAGTCTATAAATTTCTTTTAATTTGCAGAACATCATTTATGGTATGAAATCTACAGAATGTAGATGTGTGGAAACTCTTAGATAGTAGGTGGATGGATTGAATTTTAGTCTCCCTAAGCCAGATGAGGAGTATTGGGGCTGATTTGCTGGAGCAGGAGCAGGGAGTTGGCTGCAGAAGGACAGGAGGAACACTTGTCCCATACCATCTTCATGGTGGTGGTTATATACAATCTAAACATTTATCCAAACTCATCCACTTACACGTAAAATTAATTGGTTTATTATATGTAAACTATACCTCAGTATAACTGATTAAAAACAAGTACTGTATAAATGGCCTTGCTCTATTCAAGAAATCTGAACATTAGAACAGTTTTATTTTTACAAGTTTTGCAATTTTAAACTTGTCCAATTAAAAAAAATGTGAACACTGCCAGTAGTTTTCATGGTAGCATCTAGTAGGGCTACTACAAAATCTCAAACGGAAAGTAGTATACCAGTATATATTTTAAATATATATGTAAATGCATGTATTTATGCATATGTATATGTAAAATGTATGCATACATAAAGATGTGTTTATGTATAAATTTGCTAATTTCAGGAACAAGTGTTTAAAAAGGTACCTTTTTTACAAATTAACCGTAGACATCCTTTACATGCTCATTAATTTGAGTTCATAATTTGGTAGCTACATAATCCAGTTTTTCTCAAGCCTAAAATACGGCAAGGAATTTAAAAACCTGTTTTTGAAATTAGCGTTTTTGGCTTATTGTAGTTGACAGAATTAATGGTCTGTAACATCACATCCCTCATAATAGAGATGTTGTATTTCATATTTTATCCGTCAGACTTTTTATTTTCTTCCCTCCCCCCGAAAAGCAGAATTGAGGTGTCACCTGTGTCCAGAACCTTCACAAATGGTTTAAAACTTTAAAGTTTTATTTTAAAACCACTTTCTTAATTTTTGTTTCTACTCTAATGCTCTTTTTCTTTCATATGCGTTGAGTCCTGATTATATCGCATGTAATTATCTTCTTTGTCCCTAAGGCTTACCACAGTGTGACATAAATACGTGATTGATAAACCGTTCCTCTTATTTGACTTCACTGCTTTCTAGTTTATACTTTATGTGTTTTTAAATTTCCATTCAACTCTGTATTAATATCAAGCTTTTTGTTATTTTTAATTCTCCCTCCTTATTTGAGCTATAAATTTTTTTTCTTTCACTCTGGAGACTATTATTTTTAATCCACAGAATTTACTAAATATGTTTAATTGCTTCTCATTTTTAAACTATACTGATGAAAACATTGCAAAATAAAATTAGAAATTTGTAGTACCCCCTTAGGATAGTGACTATATTGTTTTATTGCTGATGAATTTATATGTCTTTCAGTTGAAACAGCTCGGTCACAGTGTGGATAAAGTGGAATTCATTGTGATGGGTGGAACATTTATGGCCCTTCCAGAAGAATACAGAGATTACTTTATTCGAAACTTACATGATGCCTTATCAGGACATACCTCCAACAATATTTATGAGGCAGTCAAGTAAGAAATCTTTATTTTATCATATTCTCCAAAGTGCTTGTCAGTTTATCCTCCTAGCAGCAGCTTATAAGAACTTCTTCAGCTCTACATCTATATTCCTAATTCTTTTTTAGGGGATAAAGGGGTGAGAGGGGTGGATAGCAGGGGATTTCATTATTTTTATTTGTATACTTTTGATGGATTATAAGGTTAAATACATTTTCTCCGGTTTTATTGAGCTATACTGACACACAGCACTGTATATGGTTAGGGTATACAACATTATGATTTGACCTACATATATCATGTGATTACCACTAAATTTTATCATCTCATACGTCTCTAGTGCTTGGAGTTACTTCTCTTTTGTGGGAACAGATTATTTCCATTGAAATAATCCCTTTTTTTGGGGGGGGGGGTGAATATACTTTGTTGACACTAGTATTCACAGAGAAAGAGCGGTTCACAAAGTCACTGTGAAGAGCTTTTCAGCCTTAGGCTGGCCTAAACTGCGCGAGTAGGTAACTGAACTAGTTGAGTTTTTAGCCCACCCAGAAAGAGCACTGAAATGTTTCTTTATCTGAAACATTTAGCTGCTATGAAATCAACAAAACCAGTGAATATTATTTAATAAGTATTATTTTATTATTAGCTACTTTTTAATAATTGTTAAACAATTTGTTTATGAATAGGATCATTTATTCCGCATTCTAATTGACAAAACGGAAGAGAATTAAGCATTTTTTTGATACCTCATATCTCAATTTTCATATATAATTCAATGATTTAAGAAGTGGAAGTCTTAAAAATAGTTTTTATTTGAAGAAGTGTCAGGAACACCTGGCTAGTTAATGTATACTAGTTCTTCATTTATTGAATGTTTATTGAGGACACACGAGGTACCATCCATCTTACAAGCACCGGGAACAACATGGTAAACAAGACGGATGCTGTCCTTGCCCTCATGATGGTGCTTACATTTTACTAGTTTAACAAATAATAAAACAGTAAATGCTATGGTGGAAGTGGGCTACTGTGCTAGAGAATAAATAGGGTTATTCTCTAGAAGAAGTGGTGATGTTTAAGCTGAAGCCTGAAGTGTAAGGAAGACTCAGTTAGGCCAAGAGCAGAACAAATAAGGGAAAAGCCCTGAAATGTGGAAGAACTTGGGGTGTTCTAGGAACAGAGAGGAGGCCGAGGCAGATGGAGTCCGGTGAACAGGGGAGGAGGTGTCATGAGGTGAGCTTGAAAGTTAGGTATGGGTCTGATTGTATATTGTTTTGAGGAGTTAAAATTTAATTTGAAATGCAGTAATGAATGATCTTAAGCAGGAGAGATACATATTCAGGGTAAAGATCATTGGGGCTATTGTCTGACTGATGGATTAGAGGGGTACAAGAGTCAAAGTGGGAAACCAGAGAGAAGACTGTTGCATCCATTCTAGCTCAGATGAGAGTGGTGGCGGTGATGATGGAGAAGAGGTGGATTGGAGCTGTATTTGTTGTTGCAACTGAAGGCACTTTGGATTGAGCTGGGAATGAGACAGAGGAAGGAACGAAGGTTGACACTCAGGTGGTTGTAGGAAATGATTGATGGGTGGTGCCATCTCCTGAGATGGAAAAAACAGAGGGAAGAACAGATCTGTGGGATAAAATTAAGAGGTTTTGTTTGTTTGTTTTTTAGGTAAGTTTGAAATGCAGAAGATACATCCAAGTAGATGTCGTGTAGGCTATACAAACGATGTCTGGGCTGGTGGCACAATTTTGGAGATGATTTGCTCATAGATGATACTTAAGGAATTGGTGCTAGGAACATCTTTTTGTGCCTGTCCTACTTCCTCTACCCTCTTAATTTGTTTTGTACTCCTTTGGGTTTGTAAAAATGAAAAAAAAAAATAGGCTTTTTCATAAGTTGAAATGGGTATCAATGGCAGCTTGAGGGGCCCGTGTAAGGAGTTCAGCACGGGGAGAGTGTGTGGGAGCGACCTCCTTTGATTGCCTCAGATAATGTGACAAGTTAATTCCGTATCCATGAATCTAGACTTTTAGCAACAGCTGGCCAGAGTGATCTCTTCCTGCCCTGGGGCTTTAGTAGCAGGATGAGATGGTGACCACATTTTTATTGCTCATTCAAAACCTTGATCCTTCAGGAATATGAGTCATGCTTATTAGTAAAGTACTGAAGTCTTTCAAACTTTAGAGGAGTGATGATGTAATCCAACTGATTCTTCTTAAGAATACTGAAATCAAATGATAGCTTAGAATAAAGTATAATTTGAAGAAAAACAACCTTAATTAGTTCAAGACTCCATGACATTGGAATAGGAACAATACCTCAGAGGATTACTGACTGAAATTGATTCCCTAGAGGATAACATATCAAGACCATTGAATTTTTCTACCCATGCTTATATTTTATGTACTCTTTTTTTCAATGCAGCTATTCTTGAGTGGTAGGCCTTGCCTATTAAGGGGAATTGACCTATAAAAATATCCCTGACGTGCCTTGTCGCCCAGTCCCCTGCAGCCCCTATAAAATTTTGCCACAAAGCCCTTCACAGTCTGCAGTTTGGGCCCCTGAATCACATGAGCTAGGCCAATGGAAGATCTTCATAATGGATTTTTAGGGTGCATCTGGTTTGACATTTCCATCAATTGAAACTTGAGAAAAATTTGCTTTATTCTTGGTGTGAAGTTTTGCTTTATTTTTGCAGAAATATTCTAATGCTTAGTGGTATTTGTAAGTTGTATATTGTTGGGGTGAAAATAAGAGTTCCGTATGACAACCAGCTGGCTTCAGATCACAGAGTTTGTAGAAAAAGCCCTTTGGAATAGAAAGCCTCTTCCTGTAATGGACTGGATGAAGCTAGCCTTATTTTCTTTCTGTTCTTCAGTTTACCTCAAGAGGGCAACAAACATTTTACTTTCAGATGAAAATTTATATATGATTTGAGTCTTCATTGCAGCAGATCTCATGAATGGCTCTTGGGAAGTAATAAAAGTGCTATCTGGGGGCCATAAAACCACGCGTAAACGGTACACTGAGCTCGCCGAGCTGCACTTGACGTGTTTTGCCCTTTTCTCCTAGTCTCTGCTTTTATGAGATAATCTTTAGAATGCTTATTTGTGGCACCTCATTTACTTTGTTGAGGTAAATTTTTACTACCAACTTCCAATAATAGAGTTGCCTTTTTTTAGGGGGTGGGGAGGGGAAACATCATATAAGTTGAAGGAATAGTAGCCTGCTTTGTGCTATAGAACTAGAGACGTAGAGAGCTCTTTTCAAATGTTAGCATCTTTGTGAAATAAAGAGCAGCCAAGAGATACTGAGTTTTGGACATAACGTGTTTCCTTCCAGATTTTTGGAGGATATGATTACCTTGTCGTTCTCTGTGTTGTCTTGCACGGAGGTTATTCATTAGAACCGGTTGGGTTACCCAGTGTGGCTGATCTCTCAGATGCAAAGCGGTGAACTTCAGGTTTCTTTCACTGTTAGTTGAATGAGTTGTTTTTGCTTGCTAACTACAGGGATGTAATACTTTCATTAGCTTAGCAGAGATTTTATTTAAAAGATTAAATTTAAATTCAGTTAAAAATTACATATTGTGACAGATAAGTCAACAATGTCTAAGGTTAAAAGTCTGTTCAAATTAGAGTTAGCTCGTCGGTCCCTGTTTTGTTATCATGTGTCTAATCTGATAAAAGTTTTGTTACTTAGGTAAAAAAATTAAAACTTTGCCCTTGCCAGATGACTCAGTTGGGTAGAGCATTGTGCCATGCACCAAAAGGTTGCAGGTTCAATCCCCAGTCAGGGCACGTACAGGAGGCAGCTGATCGATGTTTCTCACTCTTTCCCTTCCTCTAAAATCAGTAAACATATCCTCAGGTGAAAATTATAATTAAAATTTAGAGTAGAAAAAGTCTTAAGAAGGTGAACCTAGTTATTTATGGCAAGTTAGTAGCAAAAAGTATGTTAAATCCTTGCAGATGGAAAGATTGAAAGCTGAGTGAACAGAAAGTTCAAGGACAAAGCAGGTAAGGTTTCTGCGAAGCCTCATTAAATCAACCAAAGTGATAATCACTGATTTCTATCAACTAGACTGAGACTCTTCAGTTGTCTCCAGAGAGCAACAATTATTGGTGACTATCGTCCTCTAAAAGTCACAGCTCTGGAGATGAAAGGGATCGGCAGTGGGATCTGAGTCATGCATTCACCAGAATGCAAATGTTGCCAAGTAACTCAGAACAACCTTTTTAAATAGTTTTATTCCTTTTTAATCAGACCTGCCCAGAAGCGTTTTACATTCAATCTTTAATGCTCCTTGGCTGTTTTCACAAGGCGCAATTTAAAAGGGTAGTTACCCATCAAGGGTGAGTCATATCCTCTCCCATTGGAATTTTTAATTTATTTCCATTTCTTCGTCTCCCCTTCCCACCCCAATCAATGACTTTGAATCCTTCAACTATGTCTTATATTTATTAGAAAAGCTAGAGTGCTAGGAAATGCTGGGTAACAGGCCCAGAAGACAGTTCCATAGACTTGCAGAGTTACGAAGAAAGCAGAAGCAGCCTAGAAATGTCGGAAAGGTACTGTCTCCTGCCTTGTTGCCCAGGGCCTGGCTTCTGGCAGGCCTCAGAATCTCCTGCACTTCCGTGTTTTGACTCTAATACTCCCCCCTGCCCTTTATGTATTGACCACTTCTACTTCCTCCCTTGGTCACCCAGATTTTGCAGATGGTCACCAGGATCCTTATTGTTAGCCCAACCTAGGATACAATCATAGACATCTTAAAAAGAGATAGTAGTTGTTTTGTTCCAAAACTGTATTTCAAGCAAAAATTGAACACCACACATTTATCACATACTTATTAAACTATCCATTCCTCTATCCATCCATCAGTTCCTCTATTTTCTTACTTTTTTTGAGATACATTTCAAAGTACGTTGCAGACTTCAGTACCCTTCTCCACAAATACATTATCGTGCACATCACTAACTGGCTCTCAGTTTGTAGTGTCTTTT